GAGCGGGGGAGACGAGTCTGGTGAAATGGGAAAAGGAGGGTCGGGGCGAGCGGACCGGCCGAAGCCGGGGAGGACGCGCAGTTTTAAACCCGGAGCGGCAGCCCTGCGACGTCACTGGGCGCGGGACCCCGGGAGAGGGGTCGCTCTCAGAACGCGGCCTCGCCGTGGGTTCTCGGGTCTCAGACGGAGTAAAAAGAATGGCAGGTGTTGGTCACTTCGCAGGAAACTTTTCGTTGTTTCCTGTTTCCTTCCCGCCTGTGGACAATCTGAGCAGCTTCTCAACCTCAGACCCAGAAGCTGTCAGGTACAACAGTCTGGACAGTTCCAGGCGCCGGATTTTAGGGGGAACACCACCACCACCACCACCACCAACCACCCGATTCTTCCCTCCGAAGGAGGTGGAACTGTTCTTGCCAACCCCCAGCTGTAAGCCGGGGGTCTTTCCCTGTTGACTTTTCCCGGGTACTGTTTGTATGTTTAATAGGAACTTTACAATATGAACAAAGATATTTTAACTACTTTTGGCGCCGACAGAGGTTTTAGAGGGACATTTTAGCACGTGGTAGGAATGACTAGAATTCCCCAACCAGGGTGAAGCCACTAGGACAGCTCAGCAGAAAGGAAGGTTTTCTGCTGCCAACGTGCAGGACACAGGTCGGGATTTTGCTTTCTTTTCCTTTTTGGCCCAGCTCTGAGAGCATTACAGAGCTATCCTTTCCCGCCTCCCGACCCTCTTCCCCTCCCCCTCTTCTTTCTGGTGCAGGCAATTAGGGTGAAGAAATCAGTGCCAGGATCCTGCCTCTAAAGAGAAAGGAATTGCTTCAGGAATTGAGTCCTGACACCTGTCTCACTCCTAGATAGGGAGGGGGATGCAGGGTCAAAACACCGGGATTGGGGAGGCCAGGCTGACGCTGGGTGCAGGTGGGGGCAGGAGGGAAATGCTCCCTAAAAGAACGTTTCTGGGGATTCCTCTCGCCATGTCTTCCCACCCCCGTTCTTTGCTTCTACCTTCATTCAGGTCATGAACACGCAGGTTATTAACACATTTTTCCTTGTTTTTAGCGCCCTGAGACTGGGATCTGAGGCTGAAATTAAAAGCAACACTGACAAGCCTTTCATTAATTTGCATTTATTTTGGGAAATAATGTAGATAAAGAGGAGGAAGGGGGACGGCCTTACATTTCAACAAGTAATTTGTGATTTTCACATCGGACAAATCAAATTTACAAATTACTTTCCCACCTACTGGACGAAGCGGCCAAAACCGAAATTGATACACAGGCTCGCAGGCTTTCCAGATTTCCGAGAATGAAGGTGCACTAAAAACTCACTAGTCAAAACGGATGTTTAAAGCCGAGCAATTGGAACTGGGGTTTGGGGCCTAAGTTTGTTTTTCCAAATCCCATATTTTTTTTACCTTTTCGTTTTGTTTTGGTCTCTAAACCCGAACAGCGACCCTGTGCTTAGACCAGGCAAAGGGCTTAGCCCTGTGTCCCACCCTAGTCTGGCCCCCAACTCTGTACCCTGTCTTGGCTGGGTCCTCCACACTCCCGGCTCCTCCACGCTCAGCTTCCTGGAATCAAGCGGTTCTCTAATAAATACACAGAGGGAGATGTGAAGAGAGAAGGACAACTTTGTAACAACTGGAAAATAAAAGCGCCATCGTTTGAGGAAAACAGGAAGGGGGACAGAGGGAAAATATCCTTTGCTTTTGTTTATATATGTGTGTGTGTGTGTGTGTGTGTGTGTGTGTGTGTGTGTGTGTGCGTGGGTGCTATATATATCTTAAAGTTCTGTTTCCTGGGCGCTAAGACGAGATATGCTCAGTTCAACCAACAGCAACTAAAAAGTTTTAAGTGGTCCTTGGAACGGACCGACTATGTACAGCATTCCCGCCAGGGCGGAAGCTTGAACTAGTCCAGTGCACGGCAGGGGGACGTGGCTCTGTGTGCCAGGCTGAGGAGTGCTTCTCTTTCCGGCCTGGCCCCACGCACCCCGCGGGGAAGGAGGAAAAGCGGGGAAGCTCTTGCTTGCAGGTTGGGAGGAGAATCGAGGGCAGCCAGAGAGGGAAGACAGTCTGTGCAGGAGAGAATCACTTAGTGGTTGTTTTGATTTGGAGTAGTGTGTGGGCGCATTCCAATGGGCAGATACTTGCCAGTTAGTAACTCCAGTGTCCAGAAAGAATAAATAATAGTACTGGACTCAAACAGTGGATCAGAGGGAAAAGCCTCCGAAGGCTGGAAGTGCATAATAGCTGTCCAGAAAGATGAGAGAGTAACTTAGTTCTGTGAGGGTTGAGAGGGACAGTACACAGCTATCCCAAAGAGAATGTGTGGGTGAAGCCAAAACACCGTCCCCCATTCACTGGGTAGGTGCAATCGCAAAGGCCCCGAACAAGTGACACAAAGATGGTGGGGGCAGTGCAGGCTATGGGCATCTTTTTGGGGTGTGAAAATTCAGGTTTCGAGAAGCCAAGGCAAAGGCGGGGCGGTGCAGCAGCAACAACAGGATGGGGACCTCCGAGGGCACAGGTAGTTGTGTATTTTCCTCTTTCCCTCTCCCTCCTGGGCTCACAAGACCTGGAACCGCCAAGAGGCTTGGTCCTTATAGTCCAGACAGTCGGGTGAATTGAAGTTGAGTTTCCAGGCCGAGGAAGCAGCGGCGGCACCAGGCTCCTTGTAATCCAAGCAGTCAGCAGAATTGAAGGCAAGCCCCGAACCCCCGTAGCCTTGGTGGTGGTGGTGGTGGTGATGGTGGTGGTGGCCTGAGGATTGGCTCAGTGGATGATGTGCATGTGGATGGTGATGATGGTGGCCTGCCATGGAGGAGGGTGCCATGGGGCTGAGCTGGTGCGGGTGGTGATGCGAATGCATGGGCGCTAGGTATGAGCTGCAGTCCACACCGCCAAAGTAGGAAGAGGAGGGCGCGGGGTAGCCCTGGCCATAGCTGCCACCCTGGCCGTAGGACATGGGATAGGAGGCTGCTGCTGTGGCAGCCCCTGCGGCCACCGAGCGCTGCATACACGAGGCATTGCTCGGAGCAGCCAGCGGCTCGGGTACGGACACAGACGCCGGCGCAGAGCCGGGCGAGATGGAGGCCGGACTCCAGATAGACGAGGCCGCCGGTGTACTCAGCGACGGCGC